CCCCAAAACCCCAAAACCCCAAAACCCCGGTTTTGTCATAGCTGATTGAGGTTTTTAACATTGGAACTCTTTTTCATGCTAGTGGAATTTTTCAGATCAATTGGTGCTAATTGCGAGTGTTTTGGTTATTTTAGAACTTTTTTTAAGATTTGGAGTGGTTTTAATATTCATTGTAATGACTGAATGTTAACCCTGAATCAGCACTTTAAGAGTTGATATTGATCTTATCTCTCAATTTGGAATAATAGTAAGTTTTAATACAGCTTGTTGGATATTTTTAATTTTTCATGTGAATGGTAAAACACTTAAAGCTCAGCAGAACTATCTTTTTTAATCACTGTCCTTTTATATTTCCCTTCAACATGGTTAATCTCAATCTTTAATTCTGAAAATAAAAAAATGTCAGTGAACTAGAGAAAATGAGAGACCAGACTTACATTTCATCAAAATTTATTTTGAAACAAGAAGACTTTGATATATTATCCTTAGCTGTGCTTAATATTCTAGTTTGCACGCATTTTCCAAGAATTGATATCCCAATAAATATCCTTCACTAAAATTATTAAATCCATTCTTCTCTGATACCTAAAAAGGAAAAGTACTAATCCTTTGAAAAATGATTCTCTTGGGTAAATACTCGTCTGCTCTGATTTATGAAGTTTTAGGGAGGTCTTAAGTTTGCCAAATACCTTAAAAACTCTTATAATTCCTTGTGAGTCCACCTCCAAGTTCAAGATACAGACTTTAAACAACTGAACAGCTGGTTGAAGTTAAATATTCAAACTGTGAAATTTATTAGGCCATCATGGTCAAATTTCAAGCACACATCAAAGATTGTGATACAAGTGGGGTAATACTTTTTGCATAATATGCGATCCAGATTATGAAAATAAAATTAGCAGATAACTTATCGCTTGACTCTGATTATTTTAAATCAGCAGATATCTCAATCTCAATCTTAATTTTGCTATAAAAGTGCTGATTCCTCTACCAAACTCTTGAGACATCATTAAAACTGTTCTGGTTAAACTAATTTAAGCAATTTTAGTATTACTTCAAAGCTAAAATGATAATAATCCAACACAATCTAAGTTTGTAATCCAGAAGAATTGTTTAAACTATAAAAAGGAAATTGGTCAGATTCCAACAATTTTACCCCTAAAATTACATGTTATATGCGATTGTTTAATAAGAAACAAATCTTAATTTTCAGCAATAGCCTGAAGAATCATTTTTATAAATTTAGACACAGAGTCTGCGGTGGAGATAATTGCTGTATCAGAATTGAAATATCTACATGGTTTTGGATACCTGGTCTAGTAATTCTCATGACAGCTTTTGTGACATTTATTCAATATTTTCAATTATTGATGACTGAATTATCTAAAATTCATAGTTGATGGATTTAATGATTCCAATCAATAATTTGTTGTGATTTTTAATTGAGGGTTGTAAAATATAATACAATCCGTGCATTAAAAAGTTATATTGTTTTTGCGAAATAATTTAATAATTTTGTACAAAAAAACAAAATGTAACAATTTTCTTTCTTAATACCCGAATTTTCTCAAAATAAAAATTGTCATAAATCCAAACAAAATCCATAAATTCTACTCAAATCTTTTCCCTACTTCCCATTAACACAACACTCCATTAATTCCTTCATCATCCTCCCAACATTCAGAACTCGGCTAGCATTAAAACAGCTCTAAACCTTCTTTGTGAACCCACTCAATGGCTAATAGCTCCCCTCATCAACCCCAGTCCACAAACTCCTCATCCAATTTCAACAAGACTCAAAACGTTAAACAATAGAGTTACAAATCCTACACCTAGCTTGGAGGATGGGCTGAAATGCTAGCTTATTTGGGAGAACCAGAAATGCTCAAGAGATAATTGTGTTGGTGAGTTAGGACTTGTAAGTCATCGGTCAAGACCAAATTGGGTAGATGTTAGAATGAGGTTGGAGTGTTAACGAGGCTTCTTACGGGATTTTTAATTGGTTATTAGGTCTAGTTTAGATATAACTGTTATTAAATATTTTAGAGGCTATTTTTGGAAATTTCTTTAGAGAGATAATACATGCCCAAGTTTGTAATTATCGAATATTTCAATTAAAGCATCTTCTGAGAGTTTTGCATGAAAGATTCTAAAAGTTTGTAGGCTTTTTCTGAGGTCTTCAGATTGGGCTAGAGTTTTAATGAGATTCTTATAGATCTTCACCTTCTCGCATTTTTCATTTTCTTTATCGTTAAAATCCAAGCTTAAACATATCTTCTCAATTTTACATTCCTCAAGTGCTTTGGACATATCAGGAACAACAGAGAAGTCGAACTTGCATTTCCATAATCTAATTTCCTTTACATTTTTGAAAATGCTAAACACTCTTTTGAATTGTTTCGGTTGATGAAGAATGCTCCCAAGTGTACACTTTTTGTAACTTTATATAACATTTTGCTCAAACTATTCAAATAAAGGCCAATTCGCACTTTATTTATATTCTCCCAAACCCATCTATGTTGATAAATCTCAAACATTGAGTTTGCTTTGGAAATGAGGTTCTGAAATATTTTCTTAAAACCTCTCTTTTGCCTCCTTCTAATTCATAACTAACATGATTAGCATTGACAGCATCAAGTTTTGCTGTCTTGAGAATACTCAGGGTCTTAGGATTAGAGGTACTCAAGAAGAAATCGTCATAATCTTCTGCCATATCAAACTCTCCGTAGTAATTCGTTTCCTTGTTCCTAATCAAGTTTATATCTAAAATTATTGGCTAAATTAGCATTTCTGTGTTTTATTTACAGTAATTAAAGATACAACACAAAGATTCAGATAAAATTGTAATTTTTAGATCAAAATTAATGCGTATGCAAGGATTTTGAAAGAATAGGTAAAGTTCTCTATTCATATTGTGATGTAAACTCCGTGTTAAGTCTCAAATTTTAAGCTGATTAAACTTTAAATCAAAGCTCCTTGTTCTAACAGGCCAACCTCGCCCATAGATCCCATAAAATGTTACAAATTATAGCAAATCTGAAAGTTTTCTGGTTATTTTTGTATAAACTTATCTAATATTCTAATTCTCTTTCTATCGCATAAGATTCAAATAATCCTATTTTATACTTACTTGAAGCTTTCTAGCATTGGATTCGATATTTTTCTCGACAATTCTTCATAAACAAACCTTCATCGGAATAGGCCATTGTCTAAACCCCTTTATATTCCTTTCCAAACCAAAAATGGCATGCTTTTGATCAAACACCAAGAGCCCATCGTTCGAATGCCTTAAAAAGTCCTCCCAGTCTGAGCAGAACTGTAAGAAGTCTGCATCCTCAGCTAAGCAGGCAAGGTTCTCTTCTAAAATACCATAGTCCTTGAGTGTTTGCAGAACTCTTTGTGAAATATCAGAGGTTCGCACAGGCGATGGCTGACAGGGCTCCATATTTTTATAATATTTTCGATTTGGTGTTTAATAAGGGGTTTTGGGGTTTTGGGGTTTTGGGG